TTTTTTTTTTTTTGAGACAGAGCCTCAAGCTGTTCCCCTGGGTAGAGTGCTGTGGCATTACAGCTCACAGCAACCTCCAACTCCTGGGCTCAAGCGAGTCTCCTGCCTTCCCCTCCCAAGTAGCTGGGACCACAGGCGCCCGCCACAGCGCCCGGCTATTTTTTGATTGCAGCCGTCATTATTGTTTGGCAGGCCCGGGCTGGATTCGAACCGGCCACCTTAGGTGTATGTGGCTGGCACCTTAGCCACTTGAGCCACAGGCGCTGAGCCAAGATCCCATCTCTAACACACTAGCCAGGCATTAATGGTGGGCACCTGTAGTCCTTGCTACTAGGGAGGCTGAGGCAAGAGGATCACTTGAGCTCAAGAGTTTGAGATTGCTGTGAGCTATGATAGCACAGCACTCTTCCAAGGGTGACAAAGTGAGACACTGTCTCAAAAAAAGAAAAATGGCCAGGCATGGTGGCCTATAATCCTAGCACTTTGAGAGGCTGAGGCAGGTGGATTGCTTAAGCTTCAGAGTTCAAGATCAGCCTGACAAGAGACCCTGTCTCTACTAAAGATAGAAAAAACTAGCTAGGCATGGTGATGCATGCCTGTTGTTCCAGCTACTCTGGTGACTAAGGCAAGAGGATCGCTTGAACCCAGGAGTTTGAGGTTGCTGTGAGCTAAGATGGTACTCCACCCAAGGGAACAGAGTAAGACTCGGTCTCTAAAAAAAGGGGGCAGGGGTTGGCACCTGTGGAGTGGGAGCAGGGAGTAGGAGTAGGGAGTGTGGAGTAGGGCACCAGCCCCATATACCGGAGGTGGTGGGTTCAAACCTGGCCCCGGCCAAAAAAAAGGGTAGAAAAATTAACTGGATGCTGTGGCCTATAGTCCGGACTACTCAGGGAGCTGAGGTGGAATAATTGCTTGAACCTAGGAGTTTGAGGTTGCAGTGAGCTATGATGATGCCATTGCACTCTAGCCCAACAGACAGAATGAGACTGTCTCTTAAAAAACAAAACAAAACAAAACAAAAAACACCAGGTCCTTTTTCATATGCACACAGCAGTTAGTATAATGTTAAGCTTGTGAGGACAGTTAAGTTTCTGAACTCATCCTAGAAAAAAGTGCTATATACCTCATTACTGGATATCACATGGTCACCTTTGAAGTAGTTTCTCGGGAAATTATACACTGACACCAGTGCCTATTCACCCTTCAAAGTAATTTTAGAACTCTTTTTCTAGAGTGGCCATCAGAGCTCTCATTGTGTGAGTTCTGACAATTAAGTTCACAAATTCATCCTAGAAAAAGTAGTACATATCTTTGCAGAATATCACTATGGTCACCTCCAAAGTACTCCCTTTGGCCATCTGGTGACCGTCATGACATTTAACAATGAGGTATGCAGCATTCTTTTCTAGGATGAGTTTAATTGTCCAACCTCAGATAGCAGCCATTTGCTAAATTTTAAATAATTATCTGCTCTCATTATAAAATTAATCATTATTTTTTGTCTCACAGTTTTCTTCCAAAGTGAAATCCACCTGGTATTCAGCATCTTCCTTCTCTTCTTCAGTGGTGAGTTTATTTGGTATAAAGATTGATTTCTGGCCAGGGCAGTGGTTCACACCTGTAATCCTAGCACATTGGGAGGTCATGGCAGGAAAACTGCTTGAGCTCAGGAGTTTGGGACAAGAGTAAGACCTATCTCTACAAAAAATAGATAGAAAAATCAGCTGTAATGATAGCAGATGCCTGTAGTTCCAGCTACTCTGGAGGCAGAGGCAGGAGAATCCATGTGAGTCTAGGATTTTGAGGTTGCTGTGAGCTAGACTGATACCACTGCACTTTAGTATAGGCAACAGAGCAAGATCCTGTCTCAAAAAAATAATTTACCTTGGTTTTCTTATCTAATATTATGTCTACTGTGTTGCAAACATTGCCACTGTTGCAAGTGGTCTTTATATTTATAAATTTAATGCTGTGTAATATTCAATCAAGTAGATACAGCTTACATTAGTTAATAATTTCCCTATATAACATTTAGATGGCTTGGCGCCTGTGGCTCAAGTGGCTAAGGCGCCAGACACATACACCTAAGGTGGCAGGTTTGAATCCAGCTCAGCCCGCCAAATAACAATGACAGCTGCAACCAAAAAATAGCTGGGTGTTGTGGCAGGCGCCTGTAATCCCAGCTACTGGGAGGCGGAGGCAGGAGACTCGCTTGAGCCCAGGAGTTGGAAGTTGCTGTGAGCTGTGATGCCATGGCACTCTACCCAGGGGGACAGCTTGAGGCTCTGTCTCAAAAAAAAAAAAAATTTAGATTACTTCAGTATTTTAATATTGTATAATATTTACATACTTTCTTCCTTTTTTGGATTATTTTCCTTCTGAAATAAGATTGCTGATAATGATATAAACACTTTCATGCCTTTTAAAGGTTTTGTAGACCTTTCCAGGCAGTTGTCTTCTTCTTAACTACCTTTAGAATTGTTTTTACATATCTTCTTTCTATCAGCCACTTGTGGTACCTACAATCTAATGAATAAGGACTACTGCTCTAAATCCTTGTCATATAGAAGTATGCACATGTACTTGTGTGATACATTGTTCTTTTACCTTGTTTGGTTCATAGATCCCTTTGAAAATGTAATAAAATGAGCTATTTCTCAGGAAAAAATACACATAGAAGCATTTTCAAAATCTGCTCGGGTGGCGTCTGTGGCTCAGTGTAGGGCACCAGTCCCATATACCAAGGATAGCAGGTTGGAACCCAGCCCCAGCCAAACTGCAACAAAAAATAGCTAGGTGTTGTGGCCGGTGCCTGTACTTGAGAGGCTGAGGCAAGAGAATTGCCTAAGCCCAGGAGTTGGAGGTTGCTGTGAGTTGTGATGCGACGGCACTCTACCGAGGGTGATAAAGTGAGACTCTGTCTCTAAAAAAAAAAAAAAATCTTTTGCTCATAAAAGTAATACATACTCATAGGCCTATAACAGAAAATCAGCTAGGCCAACAAATCCTAATAGCTAATCTTTGTTAACAAAGTTACTTTTTTAGTATAACCTTCATAATGCCATGGTTTTGCTCATGAAGTTCCACTATATGAATAGCAAGGAAACCTGTATTCTTTTCTCTTTGGGAAAGGGAGAAGGAAAAGCAAAGCAGTTCACTAATACAAAATTTTGTGTGTTTTCTCCAGCCAACTGTAAAACTCTTCATCGATGGAAAATTTGTTGAATCCAAAAGCGACAAATGGATTGATATCCACAACCCAGTAAGTGAAGCTGCTTTGGAACTTGAATTGGCAAGCCTCGAATTCTAGGACCATGATGAAAAAGTATGGGCCTGGGTGTCTATCTTAAAGCACATAGTCCTGCTTCTGTGACTAGATGTAAAATGGAGAAAGTAAAGGCAGAGGCAAAGTATGTTATGCTTTTTTTTCCTATCAGGCCACAAATGAGGTAATTGGTCGCGTCCCCCAGGCCACGAAGGCTGAAATGGATGCAGCTGTTGCTTCCTGCAAACGTGCTTTTCCTGCATGGGCAGATACTTCAGTATTAAGCCGTCAGCAGGTCATGCTCCGCTATCAACAACTTATTAAAGACAACTTGGTAAGAAATCTATTACTCCCTGCTCAGCGCCTGTAGCTTAGCAGCTAGGGCCCCAGCAACATATACTAGAGCTGGTGGGTTCAAATCCAGCTCAGACCTGCCAAACAATGACAACTACAACCAAAAAATAGCCGGGCATTGTGGTAGGCACCTGTAGTCCCGGCTACTTGGGAGGCTGAGGCAAGAGAGTTTGAGGTTGCTGTGAGCTATGACACCATGGCACTTTACCCAGGGTATCATAGTGAGACATAGAAATAGTGAGAAAAAAGAAATCTGTTACTCCCACAGAGACCATTTCATTTGCCCTCCATAACTGTGCAATACAGAAAGACATTGATTGTGGCTCTCTCCCTGACACTGCTTCTCCAGCTTTGTTCTTCCTTGGCTACCTGAGAATTAAAGGGAAGAACATCCTCGTGTTAATATCTATTTCTGTTTTCTCTCTAGAAAGAAATTGCCAAGTTAATCACATTGGAACAAGGAAAGACCTTAGCTGATGCTGAAGGAGATGTATTTCGGGGCCTGCGTAAGCTGGGAGTTCCTTATAGGACTTTTGGGAAAGGAAGATGGGAAGATGGAAGGCAAAAATCCTATATGGGAAGGTTGCTTCTTTATGTAGAATTTGCCATCCCATAATATCCTTTTTATGCTTGTGAAAGTGGCAGTATTTCTCAGGTATCTATAAAACTGATTTACTTGATTCTTTATTTTACTCAGATGCCCTTCCAGCAGGAATATGCATATTATTTCCTCTTTCCCATTCAGAGAATCTCATTTTGTCCAGCCCGTTCATTCAGGAGGGCAAGTCAGTGCCCACACCACCCCCATCACTGGCCTGAGCTAGAACTGGTAGCCTGACTTTTTCTTCTCTGTTACAGAGGTGGTTGAGCATGCCTGTAGTGTGACGTCTCTCATGCTGGGAGAGACCATGCCATCCATCACCAAAGACATGGACCTTTATTCTTACCGTCTGCCTCTGGGAGTATGTGCAGGCATTGCTCCATTCAATTTTCCTGCCATGATCCCCCTTTGGATGTTTCCCGTGGCCATGGTGTGTGGAAATACCTTCCTAATGAAACCATCAGAGCGAGTACCTGGAGCAACTATGCTTCTTGCTAAGTTGCTCCAGGATGCTGGTGTCCCTGATGGAACACTGAATATCATTCATGGACAACATGAAGGTAACTACCGTTCTACATGTGGCTACTTAATCTGGCAACCAAAAAAAAAACGAACAAGGTATTGAGTAGTGATTAAAGATTTTAGGATGAGGAACCTAGGGAGAAGGGATTTATTATACTAATGGTAACCTCCATGTTTGAAGGTAATGATTGCTGACTGTTTTGCCATCTCTAAGGGGAAAGGTAACTAAATGAGGAGTGGCAGTGCTTCTTTCCCTACAGTTTATTTGGGGACACTAGAAATATGGATTTGAGTTAGGTAAGATTAAAGAAAGTCTGGGGTATAGTCCTAGCACTTTGAGAGGTCAGAGCAAGAGTTGAGACCAGCCTGAGCAACTTTGCAAAAAATACATAAATAAAAGTTAGCTGGGTATGGTGGCACTTGCCTGCAGTCCTAGCTACTTAGGAGGCTGAGGCAGGAAGATCACTTGAGCACATTTTGAGGTTGCAGTGAGTTATCATAATGCCACTGCCTTCTAGCCCAGGCAACAGAGGGAGACCTTGTCTCAGAAAAAAAAAAGGTTAAAGAGAAAGTTTTTGCTTCAGTGTTAAAGGAATTTATGAGAAGATTTAACTTAGAATAGGCCTTAAAGATACTAAAGGCCTTTTAATTCATATAATGATAGCTAATCCTTAAATAGTGCTTCAGTATTTCAGGCGCTGTTCCTAGAGCTTTGCATATTTTGCATATAACCACCCTTTGTAGTAGGTAATATTATTTTTCCATCTTATAGATGAGAAATTTGAGGCATGGTGAAATTAATTTGCCCAAGGTTGTACTTCTAGAAACTATCAAAGTCGGGATGTACATACCTGGGAAGGGTGACTCTAATGTTTGCTTTTAAATACTGTGCTACATTACCTCTCACCGGAGGGTAGGGTAGTATCTGTGAGTCCTAGTACATAGTGACAGTTGCATATTCTCAAAGGACAAAAAGGAAGCATTCAGTATTGAAATGCTGTTATTTGAGAGGAAATATGAACTGTGGCCTTAAAAGTTAGAAGTGGAAAGGCGGCGCCTATAGCTCAAAGGAATAGGGCGCTTGCCCCATATGCCGGAGGTGGCGGGTTCAAACCCCGCCCCGACCAAAAACTGCAAAAAAACAAACAAGAAAAGTTAGAAGTGGAAATTCTAGAACAACAAATGAGAAAAATAATGAAAGATAAGAGGCTAAATAGAATTTGTAATTTAAAGAATTAAGAGGCTCGGCCCCTATAGCTCAACCGGCTAAGGCGCCAGCCACGTACACCTAAGGTGGCGGGTTCGAATCCCCAGCCCGGACCCGCCAAACAACAATGAC